GGGGCTGAACGAATCGAACAGCAACAAAAGGAATTTACAAAACTTTTTAAATCACTTCAAAAGGTTATCAGCGAAATCAATGGACCACATTTTTCAATTGCATTCGAACTCTCAAAGAACTGCAAGTATTGGAAATGGCCAATGGTTCAATCGTTTTTGAAGAGACAAGAGTTGAAATTGTATCCATTCCACGGTTGCCAGTTTGGGGTTATTGACTTGGACGGGAATCCCATGAAAAAGGGTTGGATGATTGCAACAAACATGGAAGAGTTGTCAAGTCTATCGGAATACGTTTGTGATGGTTCCCACACTCATGGTCAAAGCCGGGGTACTGCACTGAAGCTTGCAGAGAACTACACATTCAAGTTGACTGACTTCATCCATGATTGTTTTCGTTCCAGAGCTAACCAGGCACAAACCGCCAAGAGCAGGAAAAGGTTAGCTTTGCCCGCCATGAGCCGACGTTCTGAAGATTCAAATTTGTCAATTGCTGAAAAGATGAACGTGCGGGCTCTCAAGTCGGCCGGTTTAAAGACCGTGCCCCAGCAGAGCAACATGTCGGAGTGGCTTGCTTTTCGGAAGTGCCTTGATGTTCAGGGGGATAGGCACGCAGGGTGGGAGGACATCTTTTCTACGATCCTCGCTTCGTCAACCATCCTGGCACAGGGCAACAGAACAGAAGACCTTGAGTTGGCTGCAGGATTTATGCAGTGTTTCACTGCGCAGTCAATGTCTACGGACGCCCTGACGAACGTGCCGTGGGCAAAGGAGATCCGCCATCTGTCCGAGTTGGAGCATGACTCACTGTGGGATCTGAGCTTGCCTACTGAGTACGTCCCTGGGACATCAAGGCCGGCGGTAGACGTCGTGCCCACCATCTATGTGGTGACTTCCGATTCAACTTTGGCTCTGATCACTGGAAAGGGTAAGACTTTGAAGAAGTACACCTTGAAGGAGGATCTGGGATTGCGAAAATCAGACATGGTTCTCGAAATCGGTCATGACATGCTCTGGGGTAAGGATTTACAACAGCTCTGCAAAGCAAATATTTCCATGATCAAGGAGCTGATGGCAAAATATTCTTCTCATGGATCAGCCATCAGGGTTATTTCGGTGATCTTTTGGTCTGGAAATGAAATTTGTGGGGAATATGGTGTTGAACCCCTTCCCATTTGGGGGCAGAGGGAACCACAGGGTGACTGGAATGCCATCATGGACAGGGTCAAAGGCAACATTGTTTGGTGGAACAATCAGCTCAAGGAGTTGGGAGTGGATCAGGCCGCCCTAATCGGCGAGCCCGACCCGCTCACTTATGGGTTGAGTCTCATCTTCACGACGTTTATTGAACGTCTGAAGGAATGGTTCCACAAGGAGATTGCCAGTGACAACGATCGGATTCGGTGGATCAAGAATGACATGCTTCCACCGAGGCTTGAGCTCAGGGACTACTTTCACGCATTCGAGACCGAGCTCAACCGAAGCGAGATGATCGGATATGTCATGGCAACTCTCCACATGCTGCACATGACGGACATTTTGATCCCTCAGTACAACCTGTCTTTGTACAAGCGCAGGCGCCCTGCAGGTGAAGCCACAATGCGCGATGTCCCGCCTAAGATGGAGCACCTCCCAGTCAGGTTTGTGCAGGTTCTCAACTCTCTCCGGGAGAAGGTGAACAAGCCTGCACCGAGTGTCTCGACCCCGGAAAGCTTTACAGCGGAGGAGTTGAGGGATCGCCCGACTGATGCTGGTGTCGCCGAAGATGATGATGAGGAAGGCGACCCATGGGATGCTCTGGATCCCGATGAGCACGAGGGCCCATCTGTTGGCAAAGCCAAGGCGAGCCACGCAGCTCCGCCTGACCCCAAGGCGAAACCTCAGACGACGCAGGAGGATTCAACTCAGGCCACCTCAGCTGGTGAGCCCCTGCAAGAAAACGAGATCAAGGGTACCATCATTCCGAAACACGCACTTGGACACCTTGACAAATATCGCATCACTTTGGATGAAAACATAAATGCAGAAGTAGTTGAACATTGCGTCGTTGATGCCCATCCCTACGAATTGATCGTCAAAACCTGTTGGGAGATGGATGGTGCAAAGGAGCTGAAGTACCCAGATCGCATGGACCGACACAAGACCAAGGTCAATGCAGTGACGCGTGGACAGCCGGGTCAGGACACCTCTGGATTTGATGAAAACATGTGGCTTGACCTTGATGACTTCTTTCGAATGTTCAACCAAATGCTGCCAGCCAAGTTGCCCCGAATGACAGTTGAAGAGCTCATCTCATTGCTCTACTGGGACAACAAGTGCCGTTTTGAGTTCCAGTGCATTGCCGGGTACCAGAAGGCAACCCGTAAAGGGTTAGCCTACTGGCCCATCAGGATCCGCGCAGTGCAGGGGCATACAAAACGTGCCATGGATGCCGCTTCAGCTGAGGACACGTTCAACGCAGTGGAAATCTACGCTCTGTCTGGTGCAGCAGCGATCCAAAAGATGAACGCCAAAGGTAAAAAGATTACCACTCCTCAGATGTGCCCTGGCGTAGTTTATCACAGGACTACAAAAGGCAATTGGAAGGGCATCATTGAGAATGGCTTCGTGGCTGGAGGAGGAGAACGAAATTCGTCAGGAAGAGCTCACTCCTATTTTAGCGACGTTCGTGTTGATGAGAAAGAGTATGTGAGTGGTTTGCGTGCTGAGCGACCCATTGATATCAGGGTTGCAATGGCAGAAGCTGTCAAGGCTGGAATTGTGTTTTTCAGGACGGCTTCTGACGGCATTCTCACAAGTGATGTCGTCCCGCCACAATACATCATCTCTGTGGACGACACGGCAAAGAAGGTGAATCTTTATCGTCGCCAACAGGAGGTAGCGCAGTCTGCAGCAAGCAGTGGGGGAGAAGTTGGAGTCCAACAGCTTGTCGAGACCTTTGAGGCCAAGGCATCAAAAAGGACAGGTTCCACATCTCCGGCCGCCTCAACTGGCGCGCCCACTGCAAAGACATTTTTCCCAGGGAAGGTGAAGCCTCCGCCACCAAATGTGGCCCAACTTGCCGGTATGCCTGGATATGCAAGCAGCAGACTGTTGCCCCCTCCTCCAAAGGGTGAAGCTCCGAAACCTCCTGAAGCAAAGGTTGAAGGACCGAAGACACCGCCAAAGGTTGAAGGACCAAAGACACCTCCAAAAACACCACCGAAGGAAGGGACTTCTGCACCTCATGCACCAGAAGTTCCAAAAGCTGTGACCTCAGAAGTTGATGCAGCGGCAAAGGATGAACCTGCAAAGAAGAAGGCAGCCCTAACAAGCGTGCCAACAGCTGTGCCTGCGGCATCATCTGCTGCGGCCTTCTTGGAGCCTGTTCCAAAAGTTGCACCACCAAAGGCAGTGCAGAAAGATCCGAAAGCTCCAGTTGCAGGGTCACCCAAAAAGACGCCAGCAGCAACGTCAAAGTCACTGGTGCCAAAGCAGAAGTCTCGCCCTAAAGGCGATGACCAACCTTCAAAGAAAGAGGTGAAGAAGGAGGACAAGAAGCCGGTGCCGGTCAAGATCGAAGTCACGCAATGTTCAAGATGTTTTGCACAGACTTTCAAGGGACAGATTGAATGCGATGTGTGTGGATTGATGCTCGAAGGGATCAACAAGGCCGACCGAACCAAGATTGCAGAACGTAGGAAGGCCGCCCTTCACAAGCTGGGCTTGTACTATGATTTTCGTGGTGAGTACCTGCAGAGCATCACACACGATCAGCTTGAATCTTTGGGTTTGTTGGACGACCAGGCAAGGGGAAGCTCAAGTCCGGAAGCCGGCCTATTGGCAAGGGCCAAGAGTCGCTTCGACCGTGCCTTGAGTTTAGGCTATGTGTCTGTGGCTGACAGGTTTGCCCAGGACGCCACATTCGCAGAGAGCGTGTTGAACGAGGGGGAGAACGAGTACGATTGTGAAAGGTACGACCTCCTCAAGTCTGCACATTTGCCAAAGCCGGGTCGCACCAAAGCTCAGGTCAAGATGGGTATTTCTGAGCAATCCCAGCTGGAGCACAATGCAATGAGGCTGGTTTACTTGGATTTGGCCAGTCGCTATGATGTCCCAAAGTCTTTCAGGTACATCGACCAGCCATGGTTCTACATGTACCGAACCGAGATTTACTCCGAAGAAGAGTACATTGACTACCTCAACAGGAATCCTGGACACAATCTTTTGTTGTCTTGCACTGGTGTTGACAACATTGCTGTTCATGATGCTGAACGCCATTTGAGGTGGATTAAGGGACAAAATGAAGAGCTGTACAAGCAGAACGCAGCAGAGAAGAAGAAACAGTCTGACAGGGCCCGCGAACAAAATGAGGCCAAGCGCAAAGCTGAGCAGACTGGTGCGTATGGCCAAGGTCCCTCCAAGAAAGGCACCGCCAAACCGGTTGCCCGACCATCCACAGGCGTAGAGGTAGCTTCATCATCAACGTCTGCAAGTCAGTGGATCAACCGCCCTCAGCAAAGTCAGTCCCACGATGATCGCCGCTACACTGGAGAATGGCAGAAGTGGCACGGACGCTGGTATGAGAAAGTCATCAGGCATGGGCGTGTTGAGTGGGAAGAGGGATAAGTTGTGACACTGCTTGCATCGACGATCGGTTTTTGTATAATAGCCGCCGAGTGTGTTTTCCCTTGGGTTTGCAAAGAGCAGGTTCGGTGAGGCAGGTCTTAAAGACCTCGCCCTGGTAAATGCGGCATCCTCGCCGTAACCGGCTCACCTGAGGGGGGTGTAAAATCACCTCACCATAAAACACACATGTAAGCTAGTTGCACTACAGCATTGCGGCTCAGTTGGAAAAGGTGCTGCTGAGTCGTTAGCTTAACGGTTTTTGTCCTTGTTCTAGGTTTATCAGTCCATTTGGGATAATAGTAACATCCCTTGCTGAAACCTGAAAATACACCATCTATGCGGAGCAGGCGAAGGGAAGAAGGTCCTACTATGTCTCTCACAAATCCATGGCCGAGATGGTAGCTGGGGTGATAGCATACGCAGTGATGACGGGCGATTGGATCGAATCTCATGCCTTCGTTGTCGCTGGGCAGGAGGCAGTCAGGGAGGCCGACGTTCTGGCTGCGGGCCAAGAGATTGGAAAGATTGCGGAGCGCTCAGCATTTTCTAAGATCTCGGGAAATGCGATCCCGTACTTGTCTCTGGCTACTGAAGGGAGGTACGCAAGGACAGACATTTTCCCAGACGATGTGGCGTCCATGGGAAGATTCACGAAGGTCCCGGACCAGACGAACATCAAGCTTTCGTGCCCGCCTCTCACGGAGGGGGAGGCCGCGGCATACATGGTTTCCGTGATCAGATCCATCCCCTTTTCTGGATTTCTCTCCAAACTGTCGCTACTCAAGGCGAGTGGAATTGTGGTCAAGCACCTCGAGCTGACCTTGTCGAGTGGCATGTCAGGGGAGCGGCAGATCGGAGCGTCAACCACGGTCCTTGAGCGCTTTGTGATCCCGGAATCCATCTTCGGGTTTGCATTCAACAATCGCTTGGTACCAGGATCTCCGGGGCAAGTCCTTGAGAGCTTGGCCTCATCCTATCCGAATAGGATGGTCACGAACTCCTTTGTGGCCAGGGAGCTGGGGGTCCAGTCAAGGAGCTTCACAATGGCTGCATCTCTGACGCAGGCCGTGGCCTTCTACAGGTCTGCTTCCCTTGCTTTCGAACTGGATGGCGACTCATCAAGCGACACTATCAATTCGGCACTGGGCCTGGCAAACCTGACTCGAGGATCGCCCTGGTCCGGCTTCGGATCCATCTTTGGACCGAAGCTAACGACGGCCACAGGAGCTGTTTATAGGGCGTTTCTTGACCTTTCGGTCGAACTCACCACGAAATCCCTCGAGGGGGCTGGAAAGATGCTCCCCGACGAGCTGGGAACTGGAGGGGTGAAGAGGGTGCTTGCCCTCCCCCCGCCAGAGAAGGGCCAGAAGGATGCTGAAGAGACCCATATGGCAAATTGAACTGCATGGAATCTTTCTGGAGAATGCTGAGGTTCACCATCAGGAAACCGGGCCTGAAATGTCCGTAGAGGTCTGCTATGTGCACCACACCAGGTTGCCCATCTGTCGTGCCCCCAGGCCTGTACGCCTGGACAATATTCAGGATCTGTGGTACGCAGACCTCTGCAATGCTTGGTTTGATCAGATTCAGAGGCAGCAGCCGTTGCGTGTGCACATTGTCAAGCCTTCACCTGCGTACCAGACCCGTCCACAGGCAGTTATACATATTCTCCTTGAGCAAGGCATGACTCCCACTAGAGTTGCGATTCTGTTCACTGCTGCAGCCGGAGGTGCATTTGCAATGCATGGCCTAGCACGTGAAACAGCTATCCTCCATGTGAGAGCCCTGGTCATCGTACACTTTTTCAGTGGGTACCGCCGCATGGGGGACATCCACCACGTAGTAGAACACCGCACTGTGAATCGGGTGCCTACATCTTCACCATCTCAGTCGACCTCTGCATGCAGCGCCAGAATAACGACCTGGCAACGCCTCAAGCAGCCAAATGGTGGCGAGCCCGTATCCTGAGCGGGCAGGTCGTAGCAGCAGGCGGAGGGCCGCCGTGTGAGACGTTCACGGTTGCAAGGCAATATGATGGTGGACCTCGCCCCCTGCGCAGTTCTCAGCATCCCTGGGCATCCCCGGTCTTACCCTGTGCATCAATGACCGGCTGTTACGCTTCCTTTTGGATGTCCTAGTAGCGCTGGCAATGATGGGGCTGAGTGGTTTCCTTGAGCATCCACAGTTCCCCACGTGGTGCGCGAGAGCTCCCAGCCGACTTCAACCGGATTACCACGGCGGAGGCGGCTGAACCAGCTGCATAGAGCATGGACAAGCACCAAACACCAAGACGGTGTAGCATCGCAAATGGAAAAAAATGGGGTAGGTCAACCACCAACCAGATTATTATTAACCGTCATTAACCATATAATAACCATTAATATTAACCATTAACATAGACCCGGGCAAGCCGGCGGCGGAAGTTTCCCAAACATAAATGACCTATAGTTCAAAGACAACCTGTCCCGACCGTGTCCTTCCCTCGACACTCCACACCTCACACTGCACACTGCACTCTTCGCACTTCAAACTTCAAACTTCACACTCCACACTTCACACTCCACACTTCTCACTTCTCACTGCTTCCTTCACACTCCAAACCTCACACTTCACACTTCACACTGCGCTCTTCGCGCTCCAAACTGAAACTTCACACTCCACACTTCACACTCCACACTTCACACTTCACACTTCTCACTTCTCACTGCTTCCTTCACACTCCAAACCTCACACTTCACACTTCACACTGCGCTCTTCGCACTCCAAACTGAAACTTCACACTCCACACTTCACACTTCTCACTTCTCACTTCTCACTGCTTCCTTCACACTCCAAACCTCACACTTCACACTTCACACTGCGCTCTTCGCACTCCAAACTAAAACTTCACACTCCACACTTCACACTTCACAGTCCACACTTGACACTTCTCACTTCCCACTGCTTCCTTCACACTCCAAATCTCACATTTCACACTTCACACTTCACACTGCGCGCTTCGCACTCCAAACTTCACACTCCACACTTCACACTTCTCACTTCCCACTGCTTCCTTCACACTTCACACTTCACACTGCACTCTTTACGCCCCACACTTCCCACTGCTCTAAACCTACGTGCAACAAAAAAACACTAGTGCCAAAATGGAGAAAATCTGCTAACAAATTTATTTCGCAGCCTTCATGCAGCCACTCCAAGACGATTTACGAGATCCAGCGGCAAAAGACAATAGTATTACGAATGCAGCCACAGCACGAAGCAACCTTGACGCAGCCATTACAATGCGATCTGCAGAGACTGAGTTGCAAAACACAATAGAACTACGCGCAACGGCGTCGGAAATTGTAGCTCCAAAACCGGATCTCGACGCCAGAGCGAAAAAAAGACGATTTTGAGGCACTTTTTAAAAGGATTTTTAGAAGGAAAATCATTAGCGCCAAAATGGAGAAAATCTGCTGACAAATCACTGTGGCAGCCTTCATGCAGCCACTCCAATACGATTTACGAAGTCCAGCTGCAAAAGACAATAGTATTACGAATGCAGCCACAGCACGAAGCAACCTTGACGCAGCCATTACAATGCGATCTGCAGAGACTGAGTTGCAAAACACAATAGAACTACGCGCAACGGCGTCAGAAATTGTAGCTCCAAAACCGGATCTCGACGCCAGAGCGAAAACAAGACGATTTTGAAGCACTTTTTAAAAGGATTTTTAGAAGGAAAATCATTAGCGCCAAAGTGGAGAAAATCTGCTGACAAATCACTGCGCAGACTCCAATACGATTTACGAAGTCCAGCTGCAAAAGACAATAGTATTACCAATGCAGCCACAGCACGAAGCAACCTTGACACAGCCATTTACACTGCGGGAACGATCCTATAGTTGCAAAGCACAATGGAATTCCATCGGCAACTCATCCACCAGCAACACTTGCAATCCCATTTACATTGCGGGAACGATCCTAGAGTTGCAAATCACAATGGAATTCCATCGGCAACTCATCCACCAGCACCACTTGCAATCCCATTTACAATGCGGGAACGACCCTACAGTTGCAAATCACAATGGAATTCTGTCGACCGCACATGCACGAAAAACAGGTGAAACCCCATTTACAATGCGGAACCGATCCGAGAATGATCCGCCCATGATCCGCCCATGATCCGACCACACACGAGACCGTCTCGCAACCGTCGCACCGCAGAGGTAGATCATCGAGGTTCGGGGACGGACTTTGTATGGAAAACATAGGGTTTCGTGCATCTGCTATCTCTCAAAAACGCATTTCATGCGAGACTTCCTTCAAAACTCCATCGGCAACTCATCCACCAGCAACACTTGCAATCCCATTTACATTGCGGGAACGATCCTACAGTTGCAAAGCACAATGGAATTCCATCGGCAACTCATCCACCAGCACCACTTGCAATCCCATTTACATTGCGGGAACGATCCTACAGTTGCAAATCACAATGGAATTCTGTCGACCGCAAATGCACGAAAAACAGTTGAAACCCCATTTACAATGCGGAACCGATCCGAGCATGATCCGACCATGATCCGAGCATGATCCGACCACACACGAGACCGTCTCGCACCCGTCGCACCGCAGAGGTAGATCATCGCGGTTCGGGGACGGACTTTGTATGGAAAAACATAGGGTTTCGTGCATCTGCTATCTCTCAAAAACGCATTTCGTGCGAGACTTCCTTCAAAACTCAATCGGCAACTCCTCCACCAGCACCACTTGCAATCCCATTTACAGTGAGAAAACGATCCTAGAGTTGCAAATCACAATGGAATTCCATCGGCAACTCATCCACCAGCACCACTTGCAATCCCATTTGCATTGCGGGAACGATCCTACAGTTGCAAATCACAATGGAATTCTGTCGACCGCAAATGCACGAAACACAGGTGAAACCCCATTTACAATGCGGAACCGATCCGAACATGATCCGAACATGATCCGAGAATGATCCGACCACACACGAGACCGTCTCGCAACCGTCGCACCGCAGAGGTAGATCATCGAGGTTCGGGGACGGACTCTGTATGGAAAAACATAGGGTTTCATGCATCTGCTATCTCTCAAAAACGCATTTCGTGCGAGACTTCCTTCAAAACTCCATCGGCAACTCCTCCACCAGCACCACCTGCAATCCCATTTACAGTGAGGGAACGATCCTTGAGTTGCAAATCACCATGGAATTCCATCGGCAACTCATCCACCAGCACCACTTGCAATCCCATTTGCATTGCAGGAACGACCCTACAGTTACAAATCACAATGGAATTCTGTCGACCGCAAATGCACGAAACACAGGTGAAAACCCATTTACAATGCGGAACCGATCCGAGAATGATCCGCCCATGATCCGAGCATGATCCGACCACACACGAGACCGTCTCGCACCCGTCGCACCGCAGAGGTAGATCATCGAGGTTCGGGACGGACTTTGTATGGAAAAACATAGGGTTTCGTGCATCTGCTATCTCTCAAAAACGCATTTCGTGCGAGACTTCCTTCAAAACTCCATCGGCAACTCCTCCACCAGCACCACTTGCAATCCCATTTACAGTGAGGGAACAATTTCTTTGCTAACTCTTTCTGTGACTAACTCTTTCCCTCACTAACCCTTTCTTTGACTAACTCTTTCCCTGACTAACTGTTTCTTTGCTAACTCTTTCTTTGACTACCTCATATATCCTGACTAACTCTTTCTTTGACTGACTCTTTCCCTCACTAACTCTTTCTTTGACTGACTCTTTCCCTCACTAACTCTTTCTTTGACTAACTCTTTCCCTCACTAACTCTTTCTTTGACTAACTCTTTCCCTGGCTAACTGTTTCTTTGACTACTCTTTCTTTGACTAACTCTTTCCCTGACGAACTCTTTCTTTGCTAACTCTTTCTGTGACTAACCCTTTCCCTCACTAACTCTTTCTTTGACGAACTCTTTCCCTGACTAACTGTTTCTTTGCTAACTCTTTCTTTGACTAACTCTTTCCCTCACTAACTCTTTCTTTGACTAACTCTTTCCTTGACTAACTGTTTCTTTGCTAACTCTTTCTTTGACTAACTCTTTCCCTCACTAACTCTTTCTTTGACTAACTCTTTCCCTGACTAACTGTTTCTTTGCTAACTCTTTCTTTGACTAACTCTTTCCCTCACTAACTCTTTTTTTGACTAACTTGTTTCTTTGCTAACTCTTGCTTTGACTACCTCATATATCCTGACTAACTCTTTCTTTGACTAACTCTTTCCCTCACTAACTCTTTCTTTGACTAACTCTTTCCCTGACTAACTGTTTCTTTGCTAACTCTTTCTTTGACTAACTCTTTCCCTCACTAACTCTTTCTTTGACTAACTCTTTCCCTCACTAACTCTTTCTTTGACTAACTCTTTCCCTCACTAACTCTTTCTTTGACTAACTCTTTCCCTGACTAACTGTTTCTTTGCTAACTCTTTCTGTGACTAACTCTTTCCCTCACTCACTCTTTCTTTGACAAACTCTTTCTTTGACTAACTCTTTCCCTGACGAACTCTTTCTTTGCTAACTCTTTCCCTCACTAACTCTTTCTTTGACTAACTCTTTCCCTGACTAACTGTTTCTTTGCTAACTCTTTCTGGGACTAACTCTTTCCCTCACTAACTCTTTCTTTGACTAACTCTTTCCCTGACCAACTGTTTCTTTGCTAACTCTTTCTTTGACTAACTCTTTCCCTCACTAACTCTTTCTTTGACTAACTCTTTCCCTCACTAACTCTTTCTTTGACTAACTCTTTCCCTGACATTCTAAAAGTCCGTAACACGGAAGTTTCTCCCCCTAAACTTCCTTTGATTGACAGTATATTAACCACAATGGTAGGTCAACCACCAAGCAGTTTACCTATTGCCAATGGTGATTTTCGCATTTTTCCCACGAATACTTGCCACGAATATGGAGGATTATCTAGGTTAAAACAACTTGTGCATTTATTCTGTTGCGATTTATAAAGATTTAATCTTTGGATCCCACAAGAGCCAGCCATGTTTGCAGGTTGAACTCCCAAAGTTGTTTTTCCCCAATCCTCCGGGTATCATGACATATCTTCCACGATATGTGTTCACGATATTTCCCATAATTAAGGATATATATACATATATACATGTATACACCATTAATGGGAAATCCCCGGCTATATAATATACATACATACATGCATACATGCATACATGCATACATGCATACATGCATACATGCATA